ACAGTTTCTTTTAAGTACTTTTCTTTCTCTTCTCTTCTTTTCATTCATTAATTTATTTTCAATTGTGCTAAAAATTCTATCAAAACTAAATATCTGTTTTAAAAAATTTACTGAAAATTTTAGATAAATTTTCTATCTACGAAAATGTTCAATAAATTCTCTTTTCATAAAAAATATTCGATAAATTTTCTTTTTATAGAAAATTTTCCATAAATTATCTTTTTTTAATAGAAAATTTTCCATAAATACTGTTTTTATCGAAAATTTTCCATAAATACTGTTTTTATCGACAATTTTCCATAAATTCTCTTTTTATCGAACATTTTCCATAAATTGTCTTTTTATATAAATTTTACGATAAATTCTCCTTTTATAGAAAATTTTCAACAAATTCTCTTTTTATAGAAAATTTTCAATAAATTCTCTTTCTATAGAAAATTTTCGATAAATTCTCTTTTAATAGAAAATTTTCGATAAATTCTCTTTTTATAGAAAATTTTCGATAAATTCTCTTTTTATAGAAAATTTTCGATAAATTCTCTTTTTATAGAAAGTTTTCGATAAATTCTCTTTTTATAGAAAATTTTTCGATAAATTCTCTTTTTATAGAAAATTTTCGATAAATTCTCTTTTTATAGAAAATTTTCGATAAATTCTCTTTTTATAGAAAATTTTCGATAAATTCTCTTTTTATAGAAAATTTCCGATAAATTCTCTTTTTATAGAAAATTTTCGATAAATTCTCTTTTAATAGAAAATTTTCGATAAATTCTCTTTTAATAGAAAATTTTCGATAAATTCTCTTTTTATAGAAAATTTTCGATAAATTCTCTTTTTATAGAAAATTTTCGATAAACTCTCTTTTTATAGAAAATTTTCGAAAAACTCTCTTTTATAGAAAATTTTCGATAAATTCTCTTTTTATAGAAAATTTTCGATAAACTCTCTTTTTATAGAAAATTTTCGATAAATTCTCCTTTTATAGAAAATTTTCGATAAACTCTCTTTTTATAGAAAATTTTCGATAAATTCTCTTTTATAGAAAATTTTCGATAAATTCTCTTTTAATAGAAAATTTTCGATAAATTCTCTTTTAATAGAAAATTTTCGATAAATTCTCTTTAAATAGAAAATTTTCGATAAATTCTCTTTAAATAGAAAATTTTCGATAAATTCTCTTTTTATAGAAAATTTTCGATAAATTCTCTTTTTACAGAAAATTTTCGATAAATTCTCTTTTTATAGAAAATTTTCGATAAATTCTCTTTTTATAGAAAATTTTAGATAAATTCTCTTTTTATAGAAAATTTTCGATAAACTCTCTTTTTATAGAAAATTTTCAATAAATTCTCTTTTAATAGAAAATTTTCGATAAATTCTCTTTTAATAGAAAATTTTCGATAAATTCTCTTTTTATAGAAAATTTTCGATAAATTCTCTTTTAATAGAAAATTTTCGATAAATTCTCTTTTAATAGAAAATTTTCGATAAATTCTCTTTTTATAGAAAATTTTCGATAAACTCTCTTTTTATAGAAAATTTTCGATAAACTCTCTTTTTATAGAAAATTTTCGATAAACTCTCTTTTTATAGAAAATTTTCGATAAACTCTCTTTTTATAGAAAATTTTCGATAAACTCTCTTTTTACAGAAAATTTTCGATAAATTCTCTTTTTACAGAAAATTTTCGATAAATTCTCTTTTTACAGAAAATTTTCGATAAATTCTCTTTTTACAGAAAATTTTCGATAAATTCTCTTGTTATAGAAAATTTTCGATAAATTCTCTTTTTATAGAAAATTTTCGATAAATTATCTTTTTATAGAAAATTTTCTATAAATTCTCTTCTTATAGAAAATTTTCGATAAATTCTCTTAAAGAAAATGTTCGCTTTTTATCAAAAAAAAAAAAATAATAATAAAAATAAATAGATAAATTCTCTCTTAATAGAAAAATTTTTATGAATACATTTTTTTACAGATTTCGAATAATGTTATTTTTATAAAAAAAAAATTCCATAAATTCTCTTCTTATAGAAAATTTTCGATAACTCCTCTTTTTATAGAAAATTTTCGATAAATTCTCTTTTTATAGAAAATATTTGATAAATTGTCCTTTTAAAGAAAATGTTCGATAAATTCTCTTTATATAGAAAATTTTCGATATACCTATTTTGTTAGAAAATTTTTCATTAATTCTCTTTTTATAGATAATTTTCGAAAAGTTCTCTTTTTGTAGAAAATTTTCGATAAATTCCCTTTTGATAGAAATTTTTCGATAAATTAACTTTTTATAAAAAGTTTTCGAAAAGTTGTTTTTTTTTTAGAAAATTTTATATTAATACTCTCTTTTTAAAGAAAATTTTCGATTAATAATTAAAAAATTGTCGATAAATTTCTTTTTATAGAAAATTTTATTTTATTTAATTTTATTTATATTTCTCTTTCTTTATAGACAATATTTGAAAAAGAAGAATTTATGAACTAAAAAAAAACTCCATTTATAGAAAATTATCCCATAAATTTTCTTTTTAAACAAAATTTTCAATAAATTTTCGTTTTATAGAAAATTTTCGATAAATTTCTTTTTATAGAAAATTTTATTGAAAATTTCTCTTCCTTTATAACAATTTTTGAAGATTTCTCTTTTTTATAGAAAATTGGTTAAGAATTCTGTATTTATAGAAAATTACAAATATTTCTTTAAATAGAGATCTTGTTTTCGATAAGTTCTCTATTTTTTGAAAATTTTTAATAAATTCTCTTTTTATAGAAAATGTTCGATAAATTCTCCGTTTTAAATACAAAATTATCCCATAAGTTGTCAATTTATATAAAATTTGCTAAAAACGATCGATCACTTTAAGAAGCATTATTTAATTTACAAAATTGTATTATTTGCTTTGAGGACTTAAGGTTTTGAGTACCCAATATGTATTATAATTGTCATCTAGTCTTTTATCACAATTTATAGAATAATAATCTTAGGAAGTACTTATTATTGTAATATTTTTTTTTTTTTTTTAGTGTGTAAGTGCTCAATTATTGTTCGTAGATTAATGTATGCTTTCTTCTATTTTTCCTGATTGCGTGCTTGAAATCGTATGAGTGTTAATGTTTGCATGAGTTTGTGTTGTTATATTACTATTTGTGGATAATCCCGGCAGATTTTATAACGATTTAAAGCAAAAGACATAAAGGACAATAAAATCAATCCTGTTTATCCCATAAAGTTTTGAAATTTTACTTCCTAGTTGGTAGTACTGAAATTACTAGAGAATACAGCAAAGAGCCAGAGAAAGTTCATGCCTTCATAACAGCATGGTTTGTTTTATGCGTGATAGGAAAATCCCTTTGTAAATGTTATTTAACTTTGGTTCATTGTGTCTGTCTGCCTGACAAGTCTTTTAAGTGAACAGTAGCAGTATGTAATTGTATTTTTGTTTATTTTTCTCTTTAAGTTCACCAATTTTCGTAAAGTGTGTGTGTGTTTGTATTTCTATTTGCAGATTGATTTATTGAGATAAAAATAAAAATTGCGAAAATAATCATAACTTCATTTGGTTTATTATTTAAAGGATTTTTGAGAAAATGGTTGAAAATTTTTTATTTTGTAATAAAAAAAACAGAATTTATCAAAAATTTTCTATAAATACTTATTGAAAATTTTCTATAAAAGGAAAATTTATTAAAAATTTTCTACAAAAAGAGAATTTATCGAAAATTTTCTATAAAAAGAGAATTTATCAATAATTTTCTATAAAAAGAGAATTTATCGATAATTTTCTATAAAAAGAGAATCTATCGAAATTTTTTATAAAAATAGAATTTATCAAAACTTTTCTGCAAAAAGAGAATTTATCGATAATTTTCGATTAAAACAAAATTTATCTAAAATTTTCTATAAAAATAGAATTTATTTAAATTTTTTTTTAAATGCAGTTTTTATGAAATTATTTATAAAAAGAGGAATTTATCGAAAATTTTCTATAAAAAGAGGAATTTATCGAAAATTTTCTATAAAAAGAGGAATTTATCGAAAATTTTCTATAAAAAGAGGAATTTATCGAAAATTTTCTACAAAACGAGGAATTTATCGAAAATTTTCTATAAAAAGAGGAATTTATTGAAAATTTTCTATAAAAAGAGGAATTTATCGAAAATTTTCTATAAAAAGAGGAATTTATCGAAAATTTTCTATAAAAAGGAGGAATTTATAGAAAATTTTCTATAAAAAGAGGAATTTATCGAAAATTTTCTATAAAAAGAGAATATATCGAAAGTTTTCTATAAAAAGAGAATTTTTGAAAAATTTCTATAAAAGAGAATTTATCGCAAATTTTCTATAAAAAGAGAATTCATCTCAAATTTTCTAAAATAGAGAATTAATCGAAAATTTTCTATGAAAAGAGAATTTATCGCAAATTTTCTATAAAAAGAGAATTTAACAAAAATGTTCTATAAAAAGAGAATTTAACGGAAATTTTCAATAAAAAGAGAATTTGTCGAAAATTTTCTATAAAAAGAGAATTTATCGAAATTTTCTATAAAAAGAGAATTTATCGAAAGTTTTCTATAAAAAGAGAATTTTTCGAAAAATTTCTATAAAAAGAGAATTTATCGAAAATTTTCTATACAAAGAGCATTTATCGAAAATTTTCTATAAAAAGGCAATTTATCGAACATTTTCTATAATAATAGAATTTAACCACAAATTTTTATAAATTGAATATAATTTGGAAATTTTCAAAAAATTATAAACAATTTCAATTTAATTGAAATTACTTAACAAGCTTTTTCTCAATTTTATAAACTGAATGCCTTAAACTAAAAAACGAAAAACTTTTAAGTTTTGAATTTATTTTTGTGTCTACTACGGAAGGAAATTTAAATATTATTTCCAAAAGATTATTAATTTTTATATGAAGCATATAAAAAGTACCACGAAAAAAATCTACAACATTAACAAAATTTATTCCATTTTTCATTTCATGTTTGTAGAGGTGATGCTTTGGCAACGTTATTCTCCGCCTTATATGGCAAAATATTGGTTGTTATGGGTATTGCATTTCCAATGGCTGAAGTTATATCCACTTATATACCACCATCATTTTATGAGGTAAGTTAAGAGTGTAAAATTATACCTACCACTTATATACTTCAAATATACACTGCTCTACACATTAACTCATATCCAAATCCTTTGCATTATTATCCTTCCAACTTAAACACTTTTCTAAGATTTTGGCTTAGTTTCTAGTTTTTGTTATATTATCTAAAACTATTATTTTTTATGTTATTACCAGCCATAAATACACTTGTGCATATTAAAGTATCTAAGAGTAATTCATTATTGTTTTAAATTAAAAGTGTGGCGGTTGTGATGTGTGTTGGAAAACACCTTAACTATGAATACACAAATTTAAATATTTATGGAAACCATAAAAATAAACTTTCAAGCTAATAAATGTGATGAAAAGTAATTGAGATTAATATTTTTGGCTTAAGGGCTGACACAACCAAATTAAGGCAAAATCCTTATTTCAACATACAAACACACCATTTTACTTTGATAAGTACTTTTACCAAAGTTTGTTTTCAGTCACATTAAGTAGGAATACAGTTCAGTTTTCTGTTTGTTTTTGTACTTAAAAAGCCATTGACATTTCTTTCGTAAGCCGGAAATTAATCAACCAAGAACCGAAAATCAATTTTTGTACAAATCACCCAAATCACTTAGACAGTTATTTTGTATGAGTAACTGAATGTACAAATTGCACTACATTGAAATAATAATAAAGTTGTTGCACATAGACATAACAAAACATGGTTTTATGTTTGAATGTCTGTGGAATCTCCAGTATGGCAGCATCTAATGTTTTGTAAATTGAGGATTCTGCAATATGCTACATAACGTTCACATGGTTGTTTTGCCTGCCTGCCAGCCAAATGTCATGTTCAATTGCTTACGACATTAACTTTTTGAAAAGGTAACAGACTGCATTAATTCTTCCACTTCGTACCCCCCAAAAAAAAAATTAGACATCTCTCAGTGATGTTTTATGAACATTTTATGTCAGCTGTGTCATGTTTATTGTTTTATCGTTATTTTCAATACATAATAAATAGTCAATGGGAAGTTGTAAAGAAATACGAGTTAAAACAATCGAAGAAATTGAGGATTTGTAGGAAAATGTCGTTCAATTGTAAAACTTTATTTACGTTTTATTGGCTTAATTTGTATTTTCTTAAGATGGAGTTTTAAAGGAAATTGTTGATTTAAACACTTGTCTTCAGTTGACAGTTTAGTTGAAAATCGTGACAGATGCGATTCATTCTTAAAACTAGTAGTCAACTTCTTGTGTTTTATTCCTTAGATTCTTCTCAGATAAAACTGAACGATCGTCTAAAAACGTATGTAGGTACCAATTCAGCACGAGAAAATTCCATAGCAAATCGTATTTTTGAATACATCCGTTAATACAGACCATTAAGAGGCTAGAACTAGAACTGAACTAGAACTGAACTAGCACTGAAGTAGAACTGAACTAGAACTGAACTAGAACTGAACTAGAACTGAACTAGAACTGAACTAGAACTGAACTAGAACTGAACTAGAACTGAACTAGAACTGAACTAGAACTGAACTAGAACTGAACTAGAACTGAACTAGAACTGAACTAGAACTGAACTAGAACTGAACTAGAACTGAACTAGAACTGAACTAGAACTGAACTAGAACTGAACTAGAACTGAACTAGAACTGAGCTAGAACTGAACTAGAACTGAACTAGAACTGAACTAGAACTGAACTAGAACTGAACTAGAACTGAACTAGAACTGAACTAGAACTGAACTAGAACTGAACTAGAACTGAACTAGAACTGAACTAGAACTGAACTAGAACTGAACTAGAACTGAACTAGAACTGAACTAGAACTGAACTAGAACTGAACTAGAACTGAACTAGAACTGAACTAGAACTGAACTAGAACTGAACTAGAACTGAACTAGAACTGAACTAGAACTAGAACTGACTAAAACTGAACTAAAACTGAACTAGAACTGAACTAGAACTGAACTAGAACTGAACTAGAACTGAACTAGAACTGAACTAGAACTGAACTAGAACTGAACTAGAACTGAACTAGAACTGAACTAGAACTGAACTAGAACTGAACTAGAACTGAACTAGAACTGAACTAGAACTGAACTAGAACTGAACTAGAACTGAACTAGAACTGAACTAGAACTGAACTAGAACTGAACTAGAACTGAACTAGAACTGAACTAGAACTGAACTAGAACTGAACTAGAACTGAACTAGAACTGAACTAGAACTGAACTAGAACTGAACTAGAACTGAACTAGAACTGAACTAGAACTGAACTAGAACTGAACTAGAATTGAACTAGAACTGAACTAGAACTGAACTAGAACTGAACTAGAACTGAACTAGAACTGAACTAGAACTGAACTAGAACTGAACTAGAACTGAACTAGAACTGAACTAGAACTGAACTAGAACTGAACTAGAACTGAACTAGAACTGAACTAGAACTGAGCTAGAACTGAAATAGAACTGAACTAAAACTGAACTAGATCCGAACTAGAACTTTGAGAAATTCATATAGAACTCAAACAGTTCAAGCAAATGTTCATAGCAAAGTCATCACCTTAGTGAACTACACTATGCCCCTTAGGTTAGAGAGTTGAAAATAGTACTTATAATAAAAACGTAGTCTAATACAAATACAGATTTATATTAAATAATTAGTAAGACAAGCAATAAAAAACTCATATAATTTGAAAAGGAATATAACCCCATTGGCAAAACAAGCTAAAGGTTTCTTTATTAGAACTCTAATATCACATTTATGACTTAAAAACATTATTAAATAAAATGTAATAAAATCTACAAAAACAACCATCCCCTACTCCAAACACTCATGCATTCAAATCCCTTTACACATCTACAGACAACCTTGTAACCTGCTCATTACACCCTTCTGACATGTGACAGATGCCAGTAGCATCCATCACAGCTTCAGTAAATATGTAGTCGTAAACAGTACATGGCACTACATCCTGTCAGTAGAAAAAGAGAAAATATATTTATAATTAACATGCAAATTTCTATTACTCTGGTTGCCTTGTTGCTTTTCTTGTTCCCCTTTACAGGTGTATTATTTATATCTATACATTGGCAGCATGATATTCCTGCTATTTATGTATGCCACTTTGTTATGGGGTCGTCCTAAAATACCTGTCAATATTGGTAAATATTAGTTTATTTCGCAAACTCATATGATAAACTCGATAGAAGACAAAATTTTCTATGATTCTATTTTCTACAATTTATAGCATCTCCTACAAAATTATCAGCCAAAACACGTTCGACAAGTGCTTCAGAGAGTATGGATGAATCGGATACGGATAGTAATTCCATGCATAACAGACGTATGCCATCGACAGTACCTTCAGCTAGAAGACCCTCTTTGTTGTCACCTCTAGGACGTCAACACCATTATGGTAGTTTTTATCTACGTATGGGTGCTGTGGGTAAGTAGAAATATTTGTTGTTGATTTGGGTTTATAATGAAGTTGAATTTTATTTGATTTGTTTTTTCGAGTTACTCAAAAATTAATTTCAAACTTTAATTTATTAGTATTATGCAATAAGCCTTTCTAATCTGTTGACTTCATGTTAAAGTAGGAAATTTTTAAATTGAATTTCACCTACATATACATACATACATACATGTACTTAATCGTACAAGTCAATGAATAGTCTTTAATTAACTATGCCATATTTCAAGTAATTTTCTGAATGAATGAAATTCTCAAAAAAAAAAAATAAAAAAATTATCCCATTTTATATTTAATTTATCCCTTTTTCCATTAGAAGCTGGAATTTATTCACTTGTTTTTATTGCAACTCCTTAAAAATCTTTTTCAATTCTCTGTATGTTAGTAGTGGTTGTACTATACAGATTGTGAAGTACTTGTGAAGTAGTGGTAGTTAGTTTTTATTATATTTATTTCATTTAATTTATGTTCAGTTTAAAAAGCTTTCTCTTCCTTAAAGTCCTAATGTGTTTTTTTATGTCCCTCTTATTTCATTTTTTTATGAAAAACCTTCTTAAAATGAGGGAAAAAATGAGAAAATGAAGGGGAAAATGTATTTAAGTAGATCTTTATACAACCATTAAAGTTATATTTAGACATAGCAGGTTTTGTTATGTCTCTGTAATATATTTTATATTACCTTAAATATTCTTGTATATGACATTATCTGTGTTCATGCAGCATTTAATTAAATTTGTCTCCTTCACATCCGTTTAAGTTTTGCTTTTTCTTATAGTACATACTTTCAAAATGTGGGGACAGTATTTTTCTTTTATCTAACTTTTATTTTCTTTTGGCATTGACTGTTTTTATAAAGAATTCATTAAATAAATATTGTATTTTTGTTGTTGTGTTTATTATCTAGCTTTTGGTATTGGCAGCATGATTTATTCGGGTTTGGAATTTGGTCAATATTTCGAATTGAATCCAGATACAAAGTGTCATAATGTATTGTTGGCTTTAACACCGGCTACCAGAATGGCTTTTATCTTTATACAAATGTATTTTATATTTTTGAATAATGAGGTAAGTGACCCTTTTTAGTTTAACTGAACAATCTTAGAGAGTATTACATATAAAGTGTAGCATAATACAGTTAGTTGTATCAGAAACTGTGTTAAAACAGCAAGAACTATTGAGAACTCTTGTTACACTTTCAATTTTATTTAACGTGAGTTAAATATTAAAAGACTTAACAAAATCAGTTATAGATGAGTATTAGTTCAGTTCTAGTTCAATTCTAGTTCAGTTCTAGCTCAATTCTAGTTCTAGTTCAGTTCTAGTTCAGTTCTAGTTCTAGTTCAGTTCTAGTTCTAGTTCAGTTCTAGTTCAGTTCTAGTTCAGTTCTAGTTCAGTTCTAGTTCAGTTCTAGTTCAGTTCTAGTTCAGTTCTAGTTCAGTTCTAGTTCAGTTCTAGTTCAGTTCTAGTTCAGTTCTAGTTCAGTTCTAGTTCAGTTCTAGTTCAGTTCTAGTTCAGTTCTAGTTCTAGTTCAGTTCTAGTTCAGTTCTAGTTCAGTTCTGGTTCAGTTCTGGTTCAGTTCTAGTTCAGTTCTAGTTCAGTTCTAGTTCAGTTCTAGTTCAGTTCTAGATCAGTTCTAGTTCAGTTCTAGTTCAGTTCTAGTTCAGTTCTAGTTCAGTTCTAGTTCAGTTCTAGTTCAGTTCTAGTTCTAGTTCAGTTCTAGTTTCAGTTCTAGTTCAGTTCTAGTTCAGTTCTAGTTCAGTTCTAGTTCAGTTCTAGTTCAGTTCTAGTTCAGTTCTAGTTCAGTTCTAGTTCAGTTCTAGTTCAGTTCTAGTAGTTCAGTTCTAGTTCAGTTCTAGTTCTAGTTCTAGTTCTAGTTCAGTTCTAGTTCTTTCGTTCAGTTCTAGTTCAGTTCTAGTTCAGTTCTAGTTCAGTTCTAGTTCAGTTCTAGTTCAGTTCTAGTTCAGTTCTAGTTCAGTTCTAGTTCAGTTAGTTCAGTTCTAGTTCAGTTCTAGTTCAGTTCTAGTTCAGTTCTAGTTCAGTTCTAGTTCAGTTTCTAGTTCAGTTCTAGTTCAGTTTCTAGTTCAGTTCTAGTTCAGTTCTAGTTCAGTTCTAGTTCAGTTCTAGTTCAGTTCTAGTTTCTAGTTCTAGTTCAGTTCTAGTTCTGTTCTAGTTCAGTTCATAGTTCAGTTCTAGTTCAGTTCTAGTTCAGTTCTAGTTCAGTTCTAGTTCAGTTCTAGTTCTAGTTCGTAGTTCATTCTAGTTCAGTTCTAGTTCAGTTCTAGGTCAGTTCTAGTCAGTTCTAGTTCAGTTCTAGTTCAGTTCTAGTTCAGTTCTAGTTCAGTTCTAGTTCAGTTCTAGTTCAGTTCTAGTTCAGTCTCGTCAGTTCTAGTTCAGTTCTAGTCCGTTCTAGTTCAGTCTAGTTCAGTTCTAGTTCACCGTTCTAGTTCAGTTCTAGTTCAGTTCTAGTTCAGTTCTAGTTCAGTTCTAGTTCAGTTCTAGTTCAGTTCTAGTTCAGTTCTAGTTCAGTTCTAGTTCAGTTCAGTTCTAGTTCAGTTATTCAGTTCTAGTTCAGTTCAGTTCTAGTTCAGTTCTAGTTCAGTTCTAGTTCAGTTCTAGTTCAGTTCTAGTTCAGTTCTAGTTCAGTTCTAGTTCAGTTCTAGTTCAGTTCTAGTTCAGTTCTAGTTCAGTTCTAGTTCAGTTTAGTTCAGTTCTAGTTCAGTTCTAGTTCAGTTCTAGTTCAGTTCTAGTTCAGTTCTAGTTCAGTTCTAGTTCAGTTCTAGTTCAGTTCTAGTTCAGTTCTAGTTCAGTTCTAGTTCAGTTCTAGTTCAGTTCTAGTTCAGTTCTAGTTCAGTTCTAGTTCAGTTCTAGTTCAGTTCTAGTTCAGTTCTAGTTCAGTTCTAGTTCAGTTCTAGTTCAGTTCAGTTCAGTTCTAGTTCAGTTCTAGTTCAGTTCTAGTTCAGTTCTAGTTCAGTTCTAGTTCAGTTCTAGTTCAGTTCTAGTTCAGTTCTAGTTCAGTTCTAGTTCAGTTCTAGTTCAGTTCTAGTTCAGTTCTAGTTCAGTTCTAGTTCAGTTCTAGTTCAGTTCTAGTTCAGTTCTAGTTCAGTTCAACTTCAGTTCTACTTCAGTTCTAGTTCTAGTTCAGGTCAGATTTGAGGTATTTGTAACAGAACTGATAGCAGTTATAAAGAATGAATTTTCCTCTAACTCTGAGGATAGTTACTAATCATTGCTCTCTCTTATTTTTCTCTTTCAGCAAATCAAAGTTTATCGTTATAAAATCATAGCCCGTTTCGGTCTAATGCACATGATTGGCACCAATTTGGCCGTCTGGCTCAATGTACTGATACAAGAAACTAAACACGAAATCTTAACATTCTATAATGTGGAAAATCGTACATTACGTATATCACATCGTATACCAGGACACTCTAGGGCTCACTCTATTTTAGCGCCATCCGATCCCAACGCCCTGGTAAGAGTACCCAGAGGTTTAAAGGGTCCGTATCAAATATTCGAATGTCGTCGTACAAATATTTTGGGTACATTAGTGCAAGATGCTTCGCCATTTCTGTTTCCATGCACTATTGAATATTCATTGATATGTGCCGCTATTTTGTATGTTATGTGGAAGAGTATATCGAGGCCTCAGACTCCTAAGCCCCATAGACCAGATATGATTAGTTCACCAGTAAAAAGATCTCCACATCATTACTCGGTAGATTGCGCTCGTGCCCATAAGGGTTTGTTTGTGGGTATCTTGGTGTTGGTCTTGACTATTATATCTTTAATATTATTCTTCGTTTTGATATCAAGACCAGATTTCGTAGCCCTAGCCGTTATGGAGGTAACAATATGTGAATTGTTTATATATGGCACAGCGACTATAGCAACACTGGTGGGCATGATACAAATAAGACATTTACAGTATGATGCATTTAGAAGTTTTTCACTGGATGATATTTTATTGGTAGGAGCACAAACTGGTTCATTTTTATACAATATTTTTACAGTCATAGCGGGACATTTTTCGTTAAGAAGTGATGATTGGCTGGTGCCTCTGAATGCATTGGCTTCTATAGTGCAAACAGCTTGTCAGACCATGTTCATATTAGATGCTAGTCGTCGCCAGGCAGTGACACCCGAACATATGCGCAAGAAACCCGGGAGAGAAATTGTTACCTTCATGTTGGTGGTCAATTTGGCTATGTGGGCTATAAGTACTTTGGAAAAGTCAAGAGCCGAATCACATCCCATACAACTGAATTTCTATGGTTTGTGGGCATGGACCATTATTACCCATGTGTCCATGCCACTGGCCATATTTTATCGTTTCCATTCCACCGTGTGCTTGTGCGAAATCTGGAAGAGAGCCTATAAACTTAAACCGACATTTATGTGAGAATTAGCCCGTGAGCGCATTGCAAGCATTGCGCAACAACAGCAATTTTGTGAAGATCTTAAAACAAATTTATCCTACTGTTACTGTTCAACCACCATTGTGGAGACAATCGAAGAAGTGGACAGTAGTGGCAGTAATAATGGTAATGGCAATAGTAATGGAAACGGAAATGGTACGAACACAGCGAATGGTAAAGCTAATGCTAACGGTAAATGTTCTGAAACAGAAACTACAGCCCAAGTTGAAGGTGAGACGGGTTGTGGTACTGGTACAGAAGCTACCGAAGAAGAAGATTTAGATACTACCGACAATGAGGCCACAGTCGAAATGAAACAGCAACCGAAGCAGCAGATTGCAATATCGAGAAAGTCATCGGGTGGTGGTGGCAGTGTGGGTCAACGTGCATTTTGTCCGGTTTATATAATAAATGGTGAATGAGTTTATATGCAATTTGAGTACATTGATGCCATTAGTCAACGTGAACTCACATTTGTATGAATCTTTTCTTTGTTTTTTATTAACAACTAAAACAACAAGCAATGCTTTTATTTATACATTTTGAAAAACTTAATAAACATAGATAAACAAAATCTGACCAATTTTTATTTTAAATTTTAAACTCTAAAAAATGAAGGTGAAAATAAAGAAAACACATTTTTTGCATTAAACACACAGATATTTACACACAAAACACTTTTTGTAATTGTAGACGACAGTTAATTAATTTTCTTGATTTCCTTTCGTAACATATCTCTGTTTTAAGATGAAATTTAAATAAGAAAAATATTTAAATAAAAAAAAACTTAATAAAATAAAACAACATATATTTTATGGTTGAATTAGTTTACTTAAAGGAAAAAATAAGTAAAAATAGAAAACAAGTATAATGTTCAAATTTAGCTAAAATACATTAATGTCATTAAAAGAAAATGGAAAAATTAAACTGAAAAAAATATTAAATTCATAGTTAACGTAACTCGCATTACAAGTAAATGACAAGAAAACAAAATATAAAAAAAAACTAATTGATAAAATTTGTTGTTCTAATTAGGATCTCGTATATAGATATAAAAAACCCCTAAAGAAAAACCAAAATAATGCATTCGAAAAAAAAAAACATAATTGTAGTAAAACTTGTATAATCGTAATTAAACGTTTTTCTTTATTTCTAATGATAGTATTAAAAAATAAACACCAGTAAAGCATTTAAATTATTAAAAAATAAATTATGATTTGAAAGAGAGAAGAATTACAAAAATGTAATGGAAAAAAATTTATGAAATTTACTAGACAACTTAATAAATACTCTACATTAAACATATTTTAGTGGACATATAAAATTAAACTAGAAACTTAATAAAACGACTAGTTTAAAATTTTTACTAACATATTAAAAAAAAGGACCATTTAAAAGAGAAGTAAACCAAAACGGTTTAATACTAAAGTAACTTTATTTTGTTGTATTTATTTTAAAACATAAAAACTTTATAATTTTCTATTGATATTCCTTCATTCATTTAAGGCATCAAAAGATTTCAATATAGGTTTGGTTTCAAAAGCAAGGCCGATTCCCTTGGGTTCATTAATTGGTTCTGTTATGTTACTCGAAAACAGATCTAGCCTCAACCCACCAACAGCATAATTATATATCTATATTGAGCACGGAATCAAACAATTACAAGGCACGTAAGACTCTATTATTTTTGATCCGCAATATCGTGTCGGACTGCTCTCAGTCTCAGGATAGAGACAAAAAAAAAATATCCAAGAATCCTCATTCTTGTTATCACAACTTCTGCTGTAGACGTTATATGGAAGAAAGCCTTAACAAGTTCATATAGAAAAGCCTTAACAAGTTCATATAGGGCCCAGGTCTGCCTTGATGTCGAGGAAGTTGTCAGGAATAATCGATCTGAATAGATCTGTAAAGTCTAGCTGTATTAGAGTTTTAAAGCATAAGAAAAGAACACTAAATATTAGGTTAATTTCCTCTACTTGAAGACGGCAGGCGGTTTTTGCTAGTTCATCCGCAATATTATTTTCATGTCCATTTGAATGTTTCCGTACCCAAAGCAAAAAGTTAAGGTTTGAACCTTGTCATCTCGACATTCACGAATCAGTCTGAATGTCATGTAGATAACAAATAGTATGATTACTGTCAGATGCGGAGAAACCTACATATTATTCATTCTATAATTCATCACCTAGTTGATAGTCCTTTTTATGTTTGAAATCTCAATCTACAAGATGCTACATTGATCGTAAATGTAAATTCACTCTCACACCCGTTGAAGAAGGGACATTTACAAATTAGAAGCATGTCCAATATGGTTAGACTTTCAGAATTTCATGTATCGGAGGAGATTCCAACATTACGATATTCTTGAGAGTATAACTTATACAAGAAACTGTTTTGTCTTTTTAGTTCCTTGGTCAGTGAAAACCATGCCTAGACGCAAATCTATAGTAGTTTTTATGAAGCCTAAATTATCAGCCTAAAGGAAATATTCGATGTCTCAGGTTCCTATCTCAGTTGTGTCTGAATTTCACTTGTTTTCTCTATATATCCATATTTTACAATATTGTTGAGAGTAAAACGGAAAAACTTTATGTAAATGGCAATTTTCCAGAATGGTTGAGGCTACGACATGAGTTGTATCTAAATAAATAGTGAATGCATCCAATTCTCAATTCGATCCAATGAATGTTTATGTTCTGCTTCAAGAAGATGCCAAGAATGACTCTTTAGTTCCTAGAAGAACAGATTTGTTATAACGACATTATGATTGGGTGTAGTTGGAGCTTTAAGTTCTTAAAGAACGATTCCACAAGGATCAATTTCTCCATATGGAATCACTCATGTTTGTTAGGAAACGCATTAATATATTACTGATCGCGTTATCCAATTGTATCTAATAAAACTATCGGGGAATATTGTCTTGGTATTAGTACCTTGCGGGATGTAGAATTGCTGATAAGGGAAGAAGTAAAGAGGAGTAAAGGAGTTGTGTCTGTGGTTTAAATGAAAATAACGGATGGAGATTATTTGTAAAATGTTGATATTGGTTGTTGCTTTTGATTTAGATCTAGTTGGGACAGTGAGTTGAATAAAATAGGTTACTTGGAGGAAGATGTCTATCTTCCAGAGGGAAAAGAGACTTGCTTCGTTGTCCATGTAGTGGGAGTAAACACTCTCTTACTTCGTAAGTTTCTTACACATTGTTGTTCAACGCAATATCTGGCGGAGGATAGCTCTTGAGCAAAGAGTTCATAACAATGAAACCTTTGAACTACCGATCAAAATTTGTATTCGAAAAGAAGTGAAAAGGATTTCGAAATAGACCCTAAAATTTGACTTTGATGCCACTTATTTCCATTCTTAATTTCAATTATCCAAAACATTATGGAAACATTAACTACCGATTTATAAAGAAAAACAAAATTTTGACAAAAATACATTTAATTAAAAAAATTAATAAAGAAAAACTGGAAACAACAAATCATAATCATAACCCACCACATAAATTATATGAAAACAAAAAATAAAATTAATATGAATCATAAGAAAACAAATTTAAATTTAACTATGAATATGTATTTGAAAACTTTTTAACCATAAAACAATTTCATATTTTTTGGAGATAAGTTACTTATACAAAAACAAATAATAATATAGAAAATATGCAAAAAAAAAAACTTGAAATAAAAATTAAATATACAAACAAAAAAGCAAAGAAAAACCCTACATAATATTACAAAAAAAAAAATCACGTACAAGAAAATATTAAAACAACAACAAACAAAATGAAATAGTTTACAATTAAAAGTTTAATAATAGAAAAACAACAATATTTGTATAGAGACTGATTGTGTGTTCATTGCAAAAATTGAAATGTTAAAACAAAAAATATATATTGAAATAAAAGAAAATAAAGAAGAAAATTCAAAAACAATGAAATAGCTACCTACTGAATATAACTAAAAAATAAAGAGTTAAAAGTTGAAACTAAATTTTAAAGGGAATTTTTCGGCATATATTAATAAATAAATAAAAAAGAAGTTTGAAATAAATCAAAATTAACTAAAAGTCATAAAATATTTAAAATATATTAATGCAAAATAAAAAAGAATAATTATAAAAAGCATTATTAATGTTTAATTGAAAGTAATTAAAAACAAAATTTAAAAAAAAAATAATTTTTCAAAATTCAAAAATAATTGACAAGTAATGACTGTTATTTATTAAATTATAATTGGAAATAAATTTTGACTTTAAGTGTTAAATATTAATCCATCAATTCAAATCATTTGCATTAAATTCTAAATGATTATTAATTAAAATTTTCATTTAAATAGTATTTATTTTTTATAGACTAATTTTCACCACCTATAGTTATCGTTTAACTGGTAGTTATTCTTCCAGTTAAGACAATTTTTGTATGTTAAAGTTAAAAAATAACTAGACATTGTGAAAATGGGGGTAAATTATTTTTCGAGTTATTAGTCAATTGACTCACCTATGTATTAGTCTAGGACTAGGCTATTCATAAGTCTACACAAAGGGAAAAAGAAATATACACGCTTGGTACCAAATTGACACCAAACTGTTTATAATTTTTCAATAACATCCGTTGTCAAAGTATATACAACGCAACGTTGTCAACATTATATAGTATTGTCGTACGTATGTATATACTTTAATAACGGATGTTATTGAAAAATCATAAAATCTTTTGTGTCAATTTGGTAACAGGCGTGTTTATTTCTATTTCCCACAGTGTAGAAGACTGGATTATTGACAAACCTATTGACTAGTTTATTGGCTATTCCACAGTCTAGTCTATAAACTATTCTATAGACCAGTAGATGTCCTATTCTACTCTCAAGTTTATTCAATACTCTATGGACTGGCCTGTTGACTAGTCGGGCGATATAGACTAAAGTATATACTGTTCTGTGGACTAGTCTATAATCTAGTCGAGTAATATAATATATGGACTAGTATAAGTCTATAGACTAATTGACTATCTATTCTATAAACTAGTCTATGAGCTAGTATGTGCTTAAGTCTTTGTTCTAGTCTATTGTCGAATCTATTGATCAATCTAAGCTGCATACTAGTCTACACAATAGTTTATGGACTAGTCTATTGTATTGCTGCATTTTTTAATGTCAAAAAGTACAATAGTTCTTAACATTTTCATGTCTGATTCGATTCTGATTTACATCAGAACGAAGAGCAATAAAAATTGGCTATGGATCGCTATAGAGTGATACATATAATTTGTTTTGAAGTATTGTATTTGACTTCTCGTGATATACTTATATTTATCTACAGATAAATAAGAAAACGAAATGTTACTCTTGGAAATGAGATCAGAGATTAAGATCACATAGTGTTGCTGATTGACAGATCGAATTACATGATTATAGTTCAAAATATGATCAAGTGTTGATCGAGTAAATTTTACTTTTCATCAGAATTACCTTTCAATATCATGAATAGTTTTACAAATCCGATAATGCTATCGATCGGACCAATTATATAACGATCGTACAAAAGAACAAATCGCTGACTTCAATTCAATCTTTGAAAATGAGATCATCAATTAGATCACATATTTTTGATAATTGCTGGTGTCAATCAAGACCATCTCGATTTTGATCGAATTTTATGACGATTGTTCGAAATATGATCAAGTGCTGACCATCCACAGGAGATTGCTCAAAAAAATTTAGTTTTTCTATATAATAAAGTACCTCTTAACGAACCAAATACTTTTTATAGCTGTCGAATTCAATCGCTTCAGAACGAATTACTATGATGATCGTTTAAAAATAATTTTGTTTGCAAGATCACTTGCACTAAGAAACTTTTTCAAAATAGGTATCATAAATATCCCAGGAAAAACATACATTGAAAAGTAATGAGTTAAAAAGCTAATAAAACCTCTTTTCACTACTTCTTCATTAGCATTTTAAAATAGCTGCTTAGCTATTTTATTGCTTCTATATCATATTATAAGAAAGTCATTACTAGAGTACTTCTAAGTAATGCAGACGATAAGTAGTAGTCATTGAAAAGTAAGTGGTTATGAAAGTACAACCCATTACCGAGTTTTTGGTGGGATACTTGTGTTTCTTTATAAAACTGCTCTGTAAAGTAGAGTAGATAATATTCAATATGTATATTGTACAGATCGAGTAATATAGTTATATTGTTTCAATAGATCTGAATTGAGAATGATGCCCTCAGAAGCAATCGTATAAATAAAGGATTGAGGTAGTTGCTTTTAAAAAAAACTTGTATACTTATACAATTTAAAGAGCAGAGAGAGAAAAAATAATTTGAAAAAGAGAAAAAAGGAATCGAACCCACAACTTCCAGATTGATAGACCTCTTGGTGGTAAAAATAATAATTCATTTTAAAATATTTCTTCAAATTAATTCGGCACAAAATAAACTAAAATAACAGCCATTAAATTGTCAAAAATATACTTATTTTTATTTGTTCTTCTTCTTTATTTTTATAATTTGGTTTTTTTAACTTATTTAAAAAAAATATAAGCAGCTTGTTGAAAATAGAAAAACCGAACGAAATGAAAATTGCAAAATTGATTGTTTATGTTGCAATTGTTTTTGTTAATTTCTAATTAAGTAAAATTATTTAACTTTTGTTGTGATAAATTTTGAATATTTATAAAACAATAAGAAAAACAAATAAAATTTAAGTTAACTTAAAAAAAATATAAAATATATAAAAAAAAAACACAATAACAATAATACTCGTAATTGGTGAAAAGACAAATCAAAAATTTAAATCTTAATATAAGAAAAAAAAAAAAAAAAAACATTTAAAAATAATTTCTAATATAAAAAATAAATGTATAATTTCAAAGGCCAAAGATTAAAAAGCGAAAAAATAAATTAAAAACTAAATTGTTAATTTTTTATTATTATTCTAGCTTTATTTATTATTAAAAAAAAAACAAAAAATCAAAAAAATAAAACATAAATTTTAAACTCCCTTTTGCTAAGTTTAAATTTTAACCCTAACAAAATAAAAAATATAACAACAAATATCTATTTACATACAAAAACCCCTACATTTGTGTCGTAGTAAAGTTGTAAACTAAATAAAATAATACATTATATAATTGTATGATTTTTTAATTTTAATGTCATTGATATTTTTTATATAAAATATTTAGATATTTAAATTTCATTCTTTAGTATTTTATATACACTTATACCCAAAACATATACTCGTATACAATTTTTTGTATTGTAATTGTATTAACCGCCCTTCCCCATTCCCCCCGTTTACACATACATTTTCCTACACCCCAAAAACCCCTGTTTTAATGTCACACTCGTATTGCTAAGATTTAGTCATTTTTAAAATCGAAATTTTTAATTAAATAAAATATAAAAAACAAAAAGAGAAATCATAGATTTAAATTAATTTTTTTAAACCTAAAATTAATTTATTGTGCGTAAACTGAAATAAACATAAAAGTAATCTCAAAATTTGAATAAAATTATAAAAAAGAAAATTAAAAAAAAAACACACACAATATTAATCATAGTAGTTTATCATAATGTCGTACGATTATTGCAATGAATTCAAAATGAAGAAATTAAAAAAAATAAACAGATAAAAAAGGTTAAAAAACATTTAAATTGCAAAATATTATAAATGATAACGGAAAATAATAAAGAAAACAATATTAAAAGTATTAAATGATAATGTTCACATTAATAAAAGAAATTAAAAAAGGTAAGTGAGTCGATATGTTTCCATATTTACTTAAGTAGGCGTTATACTACGTTCACACCATTGTATTTTTTTGAAATACATAATGTTTTTTCAAAAAACACTTCAAATTCGACTCGTTTTTAGAACAGGAATAAATTTTTTCGTACCTTTGTTTATTGAACACATCTAGAACAAAATGTAATTTCAAAAATAAAAATTTAAATTACAAAAATATTAATTTTGTTGTTGAAAAGATTTTAAATTTGTTTTAAATTAATAAATAATAGTGTTTTAATATTAAATGTGTAATTTAAGTGAAAATGTTTATTTCTAAAACTAAATTTTTAAGTTGGAAAAACATTTCGAAGCAAAACACACGATAATTTAATATGTGAATTTTTCAAAAAACACGTTGAAAACTTGAATGTGTGAACTTAGTAGTATTTAATCGATTTCTGATTCTATCTCAACAAAATCGTATATTGAAAAATAAGGGTTAATTTTAACACGGTGATTACATTAGAGGCAAGTACTTACCACACTCACTTACGAGTAGGGAATTAGGTAAGTACTAACAATTATCGACTGCAAATAAAGAGTTTCCAAAATAAATCGAACAAAAAACGCTATTTTAATTTTTTTTAAATCAGGAGCATATTTCGATTCATCATTACAGCTTCTAATTTAATTTAATTTAAAAATTTACATTACAAGAGATCGCACTATGGGTCAGAGAGCCACTATGGCGAGAAAAGTATAATTAAATAAAGATATGTTGTTATTACTATTGGTTGTACATAAAGTTATCACAATTACGTTTGTAGTTCAAAATATATTGAGGTTAGAAAACTATATCTTAAATGAACGAAAAATTATTATAACTCCAAAACTGCTGATAATAGGAAAAAATTGTCTGAAACCAAAATGCCGTAAATTTGATTCTCTACAAATTTTATAATAACTCCTAAATACGTAGGATGTATGAAAATGGAGATATTTAAAAAAAATTGATTATTTTGACCTATGACCTCCAATATTTCAATTATATATGACATGATTTCAGATATTATTCACCATGATATTTATAACATTAATTTGATGGTCTGTGGTAATTTTTACTTTATTCGGCATTAAAACCTCAATTTACTAGACTATAAATGTGTTAAAATGTATAAAAAGCACTTATTACTATGGAAATTGTAAATGTAGCTTAATAAAAACTCCTATAACTTCCAAACCCTTTGAGATCCC